CCATTAATGAGAAGCCCTGGACTTTGTACTGGAATGATAGGAAAGATGCCTCCAGGACAATAGGGAAGAAAGTCCAGGATTGCCTATGCAAATATATTCCTGGGATTGACTTTTAAGACACACAGAGATCAGCCCCTTAGAAGCTGAGGCAACTTTGGGCAGGAGGGCCAGGCTACATCTTAAGCTCCTAGCACAATGTTGAGAGTGAGGGTGTCATGTAGGCTTTTGCCAAGGTTCCAGAATACATCTAAAGCCAGGCATGGTGTGGTGGTGCAGGTTACCTGCAAGGGTGTGTAAAGCTGAGAAAGAGGAGCCAAATTTGCAATGGAGTTCTCAGGATATTGGGCATGCAAAAAATATTGGACATCTACAGTGTAAAGCTGCAGTATAAAAGAAAGTACAGAAGTCTTAAAGAAAGGCCACATGTGCCCTAGGAACAGATCTGGAGGAGCAGGGCTATGTAAACCTGTTGGAGTTCCTATGGTGTTATAAGTCCCAGATGCTGGGCAGGAGCCTGCAGGTTGTGGCATTTGCTTTACTGGGTTCCCATCTTACTTCCATCTGATATTTCTTTACTATGCCCCCATTCCTCCATTTTGGAATGGGGATTTTTACTTCTGTACCACTGTATACTGAAAATATTTAACTTAAAAAATATTTTAGAGGGTTTATTTCAGGCTCACAGTTAAGAGATTTTCGAGTTTCAGGTGAGATTTTGGACTTTGGTCTTTTGAACAATGGTGGAACTGGTAAACTTAAAAGATGGATTAAAAATATTTTAAATTATAAGATGGCCATGAACCTTTAAGGGCAGTTGGAATGTTTGTGTTTAAAAGTGACTTGTTTGGGTATCAAGTTGAGAAGGAGTGGACTTAGGGTGTTTCATTTCAATTATCAACTCCATTGGGTTAAGAAACACTGGGCATTAGTAAGGCAAGTCTTTGGGTGTGTCCAAAGAGGATTAACCAAGGAGACAAGACCTGCCCTGAATGCAGGTCTCTTCCTTCTTATGGGCTGGGGAAAGGGAGAGCCAACTGAGCATCGGTGGCCTCCTTCTGATTCCTGACTGTGAACACTGTGTGAGCAACCATTTCACTCTCCTGTCAAAGAAGGACTGTGCCTTCTCAAACCACGCGCCAAAATCAACCTTTCCTCCCATGAGTTGCTTCTTGTCGGATATTTGGTCATGGCAATGAGCCGGGATTTACTGGCTCCTTTTTTGTGTATGTCAGACTCATTTTATAAGAAAAGAAACTGATGCTGCACAGAGTGAAGTATGTAAGAATCAAGCTTTGTTCCCTGTTAAGGGCAGATAGGCCCTCCCCGTTCCAAAACAGGAGTGGTTAATTGAAAGTCACAGCCTGTTCAGTTTCTCTCTGTCGGGATGATTGTGTTCCCAGGATGTTAGAAGTCAGACCTTTTAATGTGTGCCATCAGAGCAATTATTAGTAATTCTGTTTCAGTAACTTCAGACAACTCCTGCTACTAGCTAAACCAACAGGAAGAGGCATTTATTTGGTTCTTTTTTTTTTTTCATTTTAATTAAATAGCCCTACCTCTGCCAAACTGTATAACCCCTTTCCCCATTTTAGTGTCTTCTCACATTTCATTTTTTTTTTTTTTTTTTTTTTTTTTTTTTTTTTTTTTTTTTTGGCTGCTGTTAAGAAATCTGAACCTTCTAACAAGCAGAATTATTTATATATGTCACGATGCTTCCTATTTCAAGCTGTTTGCCTTCTTCTCCATGCTGGACTTTATACTGAATGAGAGTACTCTCTCTTTAACACTGGTAATTTTATTCCGTGCTTTCTTTGACCATCAGAAGAGCCTTCTTTCCCTGCCTTCCATCCTCCTTCCTCTTCCAGAAGAAGGACTTCTGAGGCTAGGGGAAAGGACCAGTGAGCTGCATGATTGTTACAGTTCTCTTTCATTTGATATGTGAGGATGGACCCCCTCTGCCCCTCATAAAACACAGTAGATGCCTGGGACTAGCCAGACAGGCCTGGAAGTTTCTGCTACTGGAGGAAACAAGGCCCCACACTCACTCTTCTTAGTCAGCTGAATATAGTCAACAGTACCCAGTTTTAGAACATTGCAGCAGACACTAAGGAATACTGTTCACATACTGAAACCATGCTTGCCTTTACCAAATGCTACTGTTTGAACTCCACTGCTTTAGACAGATATTGTTTGTTTCTCAGTTGTATTTTTCTTGGAAGAAATTTCGACCTGTGCAAACATGGGACATTTCTCACCATATTCAGAAGGGATCTGTGGTGTAAAAATTCCATTTAGTGTGGCTGGCTGCTCAGTATCTCATGATGATCGGCCCTCCTCTGCTGGTCAGTGTATGTGTGCATGCATGTGCAGGTGTGTGCTTGTTTTGTTATCTGATCCTAACAAGTCTCTTCCTGGTTATTATTTAAAATAGGAAAAATAAGTACAAATGTTGTCAGACTTGTCCTGCAGGGAACCTGCTAAGAATGATAGCCATGATGTTTAAATAAGTGCAATGGTAATAACTTCAAGGATACAAGAAAGACCTTTCCTGCCTAGTGTCCATGAGGCATTGGGTTGAGTTTCCAGCACCTGGAGAGGAAAAGCCAACACGAGTCTTGTGGTTTTCATAGAGATGAGTTGAAGCATATTAAACGGATGCATGGTAACTGCATGCAGCCAGGGCTGTGGGTCTGTTTTCAGATGTTTTGGTATTTGGGCTGCTGTTTCACTATAGAGGGGTATGTGCTATATGTCACATGACAAATGATAGAGCATACAGGGCACTCGATGGTACTTTACTGTGATAAGGACTCTGGTATCGGTCCTAATGTATTTGAAATCTAAAGCCCTGTAGTCTTTGATGTGGATTTTGAGAAATCTGGATAGATCTGTGAAAATGTAAAAGAAGCAGTTTTATTTTGTATCCATGCACAGTGGGGTATTTATTTCTGTTGTGTTGGGATTTTGTTCCATGCTCCCTCCACAAATATTCCTTACCCTCATATAACAAAGCTGTGCCTGTGGCTGTCATATTAAGTCAGGTGACACTGTTACAAACCTTTAGTGGCTTCAGGGACTGGGGATGGCAAGACAGAAATTCACTAAGAAATTGAAGCTTGGTTTAATAAAGATTTTTCATTGTGGTAGTAGGGTTAGTCATAGTGAGGGGGAATGGCAGGTTTAGATGGGGACCTCCTTAGGAGTTGGCAAGGATCATGATAGCTTAAAATTGTATTTAGGGCTTCTCTGCACTCTCCATTGGTGATTCCTGCCGAGAGGTTGATGAGTCTGCTGGGAAATTTCTGCAGTAAACAGTCACTGATTTGCCTGGGCAAGAGTCTGGCAATAGTGAAGTTATGTTAATGAAGACAGTGGAACAATAAGATCATGGTTTTGTGGACAGTGAGCTGTGTGGGAAGCTGGCATTTTTGTCCTTAATGCCCTAGTTGTATGTGGGAGTACCAAGTGGGAGTCCACAGTGTCTGTTGTGAGACTTCATTTAAGACCTATCCGAGACAAAACAGAGAGTGATGGGTGTTGTGTACAGTAGCACAGTCAAAGATGAAACGCCAGCTTCCACAGGGGTTTGCTATTTGTGTGTAATTTCCTGTAATCTGTAAATGCTTAGCAAGTGTGTCAGGTGCTGTGATGCTTGGAGGATCCCACAGGGCAGAAGACAAGGTCCCTACCCTGTTGGGTCTTTCATTCATTGTCTAGCTCTCTTGGGTTATGGATATGGTCAGTGTTATTACTTACTAGACCCCTACTGTGTGCTGCTCTGCTTATCGCCACAGAGCTGTAGTGATCAGCTCTTCGAATTTAGGCTGTTAGGAGAAGGTGTCTTTAAAGTGTGACCATGCATATAAAGTTTAGGAGCCCTGTATGTATGTATGTATGTATGTATGTATGTATGTATGTATGTATGTATGTAGTCTGTATCTTGCTGTGTTGCCCAGATTAGTGTCAAACTTCTGGACATAAGTGATCCTCCTGCCTCACAGTCCTGAGTGCTGGGTTTCCAGGAAAGTGCCCCCACAGCCAGTCTGGGTCTAGCTTTTATAATGTAAGAAAATGTTTTTATATTTTGCATATTTGCAATACAGTTTGTGTCATGAATCACCTGTGTCTTAGGTACTGGGCTATTACAGTAGAGAGACAAGTACAAACTCTCTACAAATTACAGATGAAGTAAATATACACACACAATTGAGACTTTAATAGCTAATTATTTTTAAGCTCTGCAAGTATTTTAATGGCTTTATGCATTACTAGCTACTGTTAAGAAGGAAAATCTTCAAGGGCCTGGCAGCCCATACAGTGAAAGTCAGGAAATGAGCATAACGCACAACAGTAAACACCACAGTGGAAACTAGCATGAGGCTGCCAAGGACCCCTGTTCAGGGCCATCTGCAAAGGCATAGCACCAGGGTGCCTCTGGCAGTGTGGAGATGTTCCCAGGGATCTAATTGCTGGGCACACACAGCACTGTGAGGTTGGGGACAGACTGTGGTCACAAGTGCTCTGCACTTAAGGAACTGCTTTCTGTCACAGCCTCTCATGAAGGACAGGCTCTGAGGATGAATGGTGGAAACAGAGGTTTCTTTGTGCCTGTGGTCTTGATAGCCTGCCTTGCCTGTGTGGCAGGATCTTCTTAGTGGATACCTTGGAAGCTGATGAGTGTGTTTCTAAAGAATGATCTTTCCTGAGAATCTGTATCCTCTGGTGATGTTCCTTCCTGCATCCTAGGTGGCAGCAGGATGTAGTGTAGTGGATGGAAAGAGCCAGTACCAGTCATGAGTATCATAGCACCGGTACCCTTTGGCTCCCTGACCTCCAGAAATATCCCAGGACCTCTCATCATTCATAGAGCATGAGGTCAAGATGAGGTGCTTTTGATTCCTTCCAGCCCTGAGGCTTCTGTTATATCCAGTATATAATAAAATATACAAAACAAAGTTTATGAATGGAGGAACTAACATTACGTTTTCCCTTTTCTTCAGTATCTCTACACAGAGAGTCTCTTCTGCACCTGGCTGTGAGATGGGGCCTGCCTAAGCTTTTCCACTTTCTCTTGTGTCTCCCTGGGGGAGTCAAGGCCTTGGAGCTACCTAATGAAGAGGGCACGACACCGTTAGACTTAGCTTTGCAAGGTGGACACTCCACACTGGTGGAAGACATCACAAAGTGAGTTCAATTGCTTGATAGCGCCTTTCTTAACCATGTCTATAAAGCCTGACAAGCATTATGGGAGAATGAGAATAACTAAGCCATCTGCTAATGTTGACTTATTTTTTTTTCAGCTAGCCTTCTTGCATGTAGTACAAGTATATGCTTAGCTAGCATAAGTGGATACCTTTGTTGGGAGTATTTTGTAAGGGAGACACAGGGAAGATAATGAAAAAAGGATTGCCAAGCAGTGGGCTACACTATCTTTCAGGCTTCAGCTTTAACATCATTTCCTCAGCAAAGGCTTCCAAGTTATATTCTTTTATGATTATGATTAATTTTAGTAATAACCACAATTTATAATTATACAGACATGACCATTTACTTTTTTGGCTATCTTCTGAATCATGTGAGAGATGGGAACATTTCTGGTCTACTTATTGGACTATTTCTAGTCCAATGCCTATGCCATAATTTTCACTGTAAGACTAACAGGCAACCCCTATAGGAGTAGTCACTAGAATTTATTGAGCTACTGCAAGAGACATAATCTGGTAACTATGAAGTTGTCTGTGTCGGTAATGTTCTCATTACCTCTAGTGAGTGACCAGTGGATTATTTTGGTTCAGATGAATTATTGTTCTAACTTATGAAGGAAGGAGCCATATATAGTAATTGCCTTGATATGACATGGTAAAATACAAATTATAAATTGAACAGTACATTGAAAATTACAACAAATATTTTAAATATTGTTGGAGTATTATTACATGGTGTGTCTTAGTGGGATGTTTTTTCTTGTTTGGGTCATATAACTCAATGTAATTAATTTGATGCAATTAATTAATGGTAATTTGATGCCTAAGTAGCCATTAGGCAGAAACCAGAACTTTCTCTTTCTCATCCCCTGCCTTATTTGATCAAACAGTCATTAACCAAGGGACAAACCTCTCCAAAGGGAATTGTCCTTTCCTTTGGTTATGAACACAACCCTATTTTCTTGGCTACAAAGACTGAGCCAAGAACATGTCCTTTAACTGAGTTATGGTGGCTGGTGCAGTGTTCCCTCCTGGAGGTAGACTCCTTTATCTGCTGGGTGCTTTGTACCTTATTCCTGTTTCTAGCACCAGAAGATACGGTATGTTTTAAAAGTTTATGTGTTTAACAGATCCACTCATAGGTGGAATTAAAAGTAGACTCAATTCTGGCTACAAGATTATGTGATCATATGATCATTGACGGAGTGTCCGTGTTCTAAATTAACAACAGCTCTACTATTGCTCAGGCTTATGATCCTTTCTTTTCAATGGCTTGTTGGCATAAGGGCTTGCTTTATAGAAGATTCTGGAGTCAGTGTGAAGACTGTGTTTTCTAGTAGAGCTGCTCTTTATAGATCTCTTTTTGTCACTCCATCTGAGGAGATAAGTCACCTCAGACTCCTCAATTTTAAAAGGAGGTATGTCCTGTGAACCTATCTTAGGTTGAAAATAGCCCAAGTTGCCAATACATTTATTGTACTTAGCCTTCTATACAACACTGGGCAACATGGTCCACTGTGGGAGATCAGATTTGTAGCCTTATGGCTGTATGGGTGACTGTGGGATGAGGCTTTTTTCCACTGTCCAACAGCTGGAGAGAGTAATACACTATGTATGTATCATCCTCCAGTCTGGGTAAAATCAAAATTCAAGACCAGAAAGTAATATTTCTAGTGAATTCACATATCTCCTACAGCATTGTAGCATTGACAAGTTAGAAATCAAGCCATCATAAGTTACAGGCTCTTTTATTTCTGTAAAGCAAACATTAACAAAATGAGATCATGCCAGAAGAAGAAAGGGGCAGAGCTGGTTCTGTAAAGCCAGGGATCTGGGGACAGTCTGTTGGCATGTGACCACATGATGAACATCAATATTTTTCACCTGATGCATATTTACTGTTACTATTACATGATCTTATAAGCTATGCTGATTTAGTGCTGTAATTTCAGCCATCAAGAAGCTGTATAACTAACAGCTGTATAACTAACAACACAGTTGTTCTTAGCCAGCCAAGACAGATGAGAAAATAAGGTTATATTCAAGAATTTAGTTTGGGTATATTGTTTCATTGTTAATGAACGTGTTCAAGACTATGACCTAATCAGATTTATGCATGCTCTAATTTGCATGAGGAAGTGATTTAATACAGTGGTACCAGTGTGTTAGGAATCTTAACAGTTGTTTGTCACATTCAAACCTCCCCATACTCCCTGGAGATCCTATCTGTTTTCCATTATAATCACCTAACAAACTATTGGTTGCCAGCTAATTTGTTCTACATGAGCTCCATTAAAGGGAGAAATATCTTTTCTGACTAAAAGGAGAGGGAAATAGTGAGGTACATTTCTATGCTTAAAAATCAGGACTGTTTTGTTATTTATAGGAACCTTAAAAATGTATAGGGTTTTAAAAACCACCACTCAGTGGAAAAACAAAGATGGCTTGACCCGCATCTGTTTACACACGATTGTGTAATTGGGTGTGTAAGTGACTTTTAAGGATCATTTTCCATTTGGATTTTTAATCTCTGGGCAGGATGCGGGATAGCATCTGTGAAGCTGCGTGGATTGACTTGTGACGGTTCAGTTTTCAGGGTAGCCGTTCTCCAGGCTTCTCCCGACTGTATCTCAACGAAGATGCCTGTCTGCAGTTCGTTCACTCATCAGAAACATTGACTCTGACTGTTAATCACACTGCTGAGCATTTGTTGGAGGCAGATATCAAACTCTTCAGGAAGTACTTTTGGGACAGGACCTTTCTTGTCAAGGTTTGTACTGCAGTACTCGCTCGATGGTGCATGCTCCTTAGTGTGTGTGGGATCTGTGTACTGGTTTGGAATGGTGCTTGGTAGCTAACATTTTTTTTTCCTAATGAAAACTTGATGATGTGAAGTCAGAGCTCCTGTGGATAAGTGGAATGGAGGCCAGCACAGCTTTAGGTGGCATGGAAGTAGCAGTCCATTGTTGTTTTGCTTGCATTTCTTTTGTTGTTGGTTTTGTTTTCTAAGACAGGGTCTTGCTGTGTAGCCCAAGCTATCCTTGCACTTGGGATCTTTACATCTTTGTACTTGAACTGCAAATGTGTGCCTCCATACCAGGCTCCCACAACTGAATTCTAATATTCTAATATGATATGTTTTCTTTGTACTCATTGGCAGTTCTTATTTATTTATTTATTTATTTATTGATTGATTGATTGATTGATTTAGGTTTTTCCGAGACAGGGCTTCTCTGTGTAGCTTTGGAGCCTCTCCTGGCAGTCACTCTGGAGACCAGGCTGGCCTCGAACTCACAGAGATCCGCCTGCCTCTGCCTCCTGAGTGCTGGATTAAAGGCATGCGCCACCAACGTCTGGCTCTAATTCTTATCTAAAACAGTTTACAGCATCTTATGACTTCGATGATTTCTTCTGTCCTGTTTGTATTTAAAACAGGACAGGTGAGAACAGAGTCCTTTTATAAAGAGATTTACTCCTTCCTATCATGGCAATGACACCGGATTTGAGGGCCTCTGGTCAAATATAAAGAATACTTAAATTTTTCACTTTTAGTAAGCAAACTTGTTTTGAATACAATCTGGTTCAGTCTAGTGGACAGTGCTCAGGGGCCCTCAGAGTCCCTGTCTAGATCAAGTGGTTTCCCATGTGTCAAGCACATCTACTTCTAAGATGGTTTTCCTCAGCTGAACAGGTTTTCAACCAGATTAAAACATTAACCGAGAGAAACAGAAACCATCATAGTTTGGCTTCTGTGTTTATGTTATATAATTAAACTACAAATGCAGTTAAAATATTTACATAGCAAATAAATATTATTGTCATATCCCATGTAGAATTTTATTGGCATAATTAAAATGAAATATGTTCTTCAGAGTCTGACCCCCCCCATTGGGTTTTAGGAAATTTTATGTGTCATTTTCTGAAATGTACAATTCAATTTAGTATATACAAGCGAGGGCTGAGCTTCAAGCACTTGTCATTTAATGATACTAAACCATTCCTGTGGCTTCTCACTGAAGTACCGAATGGTGATGAGTCCCTGCCAGGAGATGCTGGGCTACGCTGCACAATATTCTCAAGAGGAGTCTGGCCCCAGAAGCCCCATAGGGATAGAGCCTGGCAACATGCATGGCCCTGCGAGTGCTGTTCAGAGAGCAGTGCAGCATGTGGTGACTCAAGTAGAAAGAACAGGACATGTTCTGTGTGCAGCCAACACACTGGGAATTTGTATCATTACAGAATCCTTCAGCTGGATTTGTTGATATTTCACACATTTGAGAAACTGACTTTGAGAAAGGTATGGGATTAATAAAATGAGATGCCACATCATTTTATTGTAGTGGGCTCTACAATAACAATGGCAGGAGAGTTGAATGACAAGTTTCTGAGGTTTCGTTTCATGAAAAAAATAAGAGAACCAGTTAAGAACTAGGTGTGGTGGCTTGCTCCTGTAATCCCATTGCTTGGGAAGTAAACAAGAAGTCTGGGAAGGTAGGGAGAAGGTCAGCATTCCTCTTGCCATCCAAAGCCAATCACGCCAACTGCCATGACAAATGCTTCTGTACGTTCTTAAATTTATAATTGGTCATGCTATATCTTACATGGTTAGATGTTACTGTAAGTATAAACAAAAGGCAGATTATTTTTATCAACCATTTATTTTTACTTTATGTGTATGCATGTTTTGCTTGCATGTATGTGTGTGCACCTGTGTGTTCCTGGTGCCCATGGAATCAGAAGAGGATGTTGGATTCCCTGGAACTAGACTTAGTGGTGGTTGTGAATTGCCATGTGGTGTCTGGGAACTGAACAGTAATTATCTGCAATAGCAGAAAGGGCTCTTAAACAATGAGTTATTTCTCTAGCCCCCAAAGGCAATTCTTATTTGGCATGTCTATACTACACTTTGACAATTGTGAACAATAAATATTAATGAGAATACATATGGAGTATTCATACAGTATATTCATGCTAACCCAGGAGTGGTGACATACATAACATTCATATTTCTATAATTCCAGTACTCTGGGGGCTAAGACAGGAAGATTACAAGTTTTAGGCCAGTGTGGGCTACATATTGAGACCTGTTTCAAAACACAAGAAGGAAAAGAGAAAGGAGAGGGGAGGGAAAAGAAAAATAATTCAAGCTTTATTGAATCTGATATGTACTGAAATCTCGTTTTTTTTTTTTTTTTTTTTTTTTTTTTTTTTTTCTGTATGATCATGATCTGAGTGGCTGCTCTGTGTACATGGGGCCACAGCCATACTCCGTCCCTTCAAGGAGACATGCTCATTTTAAGTGGTCTGGGAATGTTGTTGTTACCTACAGCTCTGTAGAACTTAATCATAAGACCTTGACAAGTCCTTGCTTGCCTTCTCATGCACCAGAACTCTGCTTCTCATCACTTTCAAAAGCCACGCTTGGTCAGAGCTGTTAATGTTTATGTTTTCCACTCTGTCTTGTAGTTGATGATGATAATGCCTTGACAATTTGTAATAAATACTTGTCTTACTCATTGTTCTGTTACTGTGACGAGACACCATGAACAAGGCAGCTTATAAAAGAAAGCATTTAATTGTGGGCTTGCTTACAGTTTCTGAGGGTGAGTCCATGACCATCATGGTGGAGAGCATGGCTTGGGAACATTAGCTAAGAACTTACATCTGATCCATAAGCAGGAGACAGAGAGAGACACAGAGAGAATCACAGATACAGAGAGACCCAGATACAGAGCACAGAGACAGATTGGGCCTGGCATAGGTATGACACTCCAACAAGGCCACACCTCCTAATCCTTTCCCAAACAGTTCCACTACTAGGGACCAAGCATTCAAACATATGAGCCTATGGGGCCATTCTCCTTCAAACCACCACAGTACTAAAAGTCAAACTGTTGCTAACTATCCAAACTGTAGTGGCAAATGTTAAGAAATTTGGGACGACGAAGTAGCTTGGAAGGTAATAGCACTTGCAGCCAAACCTGATGACCTGAGTTTAATTTCCTGGGACACACACAGTGGAAGGAAAACATCAACTCCTGTGAGTTGTCCTCTGCTACACACACACATCAGCACATGCATGCGACACACATAATTACACAATACACAAAATAAGTAAATAAATAAACTTAGTGAAGGATTTAAAGAATTGAAAAATACAGTCTCATGCTACATATGTGTATAGAATTCTAAATATAGCTAAGTATATATTTTTGTTTTATTTTATTGTGTTGTGTTGGGGATTGAACTCAGAGCCTTCCACATATGCAGCCTGACCTGTGATAGGTGAGAGCTTGCCTGTACCTTCTAATGTTTTTTAAATGATCTCTTTTTAACAAAGCCTGTTTGTGTTAGTCAGTGTGCTGATAAATGTGGTCCTAGCACTGACCTATAATGAATATGTCAACTGGGAAATTTAAGTGTTTAAAGATGTATTCCAAAACGGCCATAAGAATAAAAATTTTTTATGCCTCTCATTTACATGAAAAAGTTAGGTGTTTTATTTCACATTTAGTTTTGTAATCAGAAACTAGTGTTGTCTGATGCCCTCTTCTCACACAGGCTTGGCAACTCCCTTTAATGGAAGATGGGTTCAAGGTCAAGGTTGTCCCTGGGTAAACAGTGGACAGATGGTTAACTCAGGCCTTGAGCTTGTATGAAGACTCCTCTTCCAAGCATCACTCCTTATACTAGGTGCCACCTGCTCCAGTTTGTTCTCTGATGCTCTGATAAACACTGCTCCCCAAATCAACGTGGGAAGAAGGGGTTTATTTGGCTAACACTTCCATGTCAGTCTATCATTAGGGAATGTTAGGATAAGAACTCAAGGCAGAAGCCTGGAGGCAGTAACCATGAGGAATGCTGCTTACTGACTCACACTCCGCTTTCTATCTATCTATCTATCTATCTATCTATCTATCTATCTATCTTTCTTTCTTTCTTTCTTTCTTTCTTTCTTTCTTGTTTTTTTATTTTTATTTTTATTTATTTTTATTTTTTTTGTTTTTCGAGACAGGGTTTCCCTTTGGCTTTGGAGGCTGTCCTGGAACTAGCTCTTGTAGACCAGGCTGGTCTCGAATTCACAGAGATCCACCTGCCTCTGCTTCCCGAGTGCTGGGATTAAAGGCGTGTGCCAAAAAATACTTTTTAAAAAAGATTATTAGGGTTCTTTATGTGTATGAGTGTTTTGCCTGTGTATGTATACTATGTGCATTCCTGATACCTGCAGAGGTCAGAAAATATGATCAGATCCTTGGAAGTGGGAGTTACAGGTGGTTGTAAGCCACCATACAGGTGCTGGGAATTGAACCCAGGTCATCTGGAAGAGCAGCGAATGCTCTTGACTGATGTCCATCTAACCTGCCCAGGGATGGTACTGCCTACAGTGGGCTTGGCCGTTCTACATCAATTATCAGTCATCAATTATCAATCATCAATCAAGATAGTCTCTTGTATACATGTCCATAGGCCAACTGATCAAGAGAATTATTCAACTGAGATCCCCTCTTCCCAGGTGACTCCAGGCTGTATCAAGTTGACAATAAAAGCTAACTAGATCATACTTCCTTGGTAGCATCCATTGTAGATGTGGTCTAGTCCTTTCCTAATCTCATGGGGCCCAAAAGAGAGAAAAGCACTTCTTATAGGGGACATGGCAGAGGTAGCCCACCATGTATGCCTTAACCCTTATTGCCCACTTCCCCTTTGTAGTTTGGTACTTTGGATACATATCCTGATCTTAGGATGTTCTGAGTGAATGAGGCACTCACTCAATCTACCAGCTTAATTGTGTGGTAGGATTCACCAACTATGTTAGTTGTATACTTTTTCCACCCAATGAGGCTGAAGATTTATTGTAGAACCTATTGACACCATCTTGGGCTGCTTAACTGTTCAGTTCATTAATGTAATTTTATGTTTCTTCATATTTTCATGGGCCAAGAGAATCTCAAAAGCAATTATGATCACAAGAGGGCATCTTTTTGCCCTGACCTTGAGATGGCTCTGCAACTTGGATCCAGCCAGGAACAATCTGTGCCAGCCTGCATACTTTTTGACTGGTGGTCACTCTGGATATACCCTGACTGTGGTCCTACCTCCTCATCAGCTCCTCTTTTCATCACCTGTGTAGGATGTGGGTATAGGACACTCCAGTAGGGTAGGTGTAGCAACACTCAGTTCTCCCTTTTTGTGTCAAGGTCCTTTCTGTGGTTCATACACAGCATGCCTGAGAAACTTGGGGTTATGAACAGCAGAAAAAGTGAGAATTTGTGACAGGGTTTTTACCCTTGCCCCTGGGTTTCATCCGACTTTTCTTGTCATCATCCTTGGATACTGGCTGTGTGTTCCTCTATCAGAGTTTACCTCTTCGCCTAATACATACTGTCCTTGACAGCTTTCCCAGCTCTGTGATGGTGATTTTTACCTCTTTTGCATATCGGGCCCAAAATAGTTTTCAGTGATTTACCACCCTTCCCCCCTTTATCTTGTAGGCTCTTGAACAAGAATCGAAGACAGAAGAGAGACCAACCATGCCTTCTGGAGCTGTAGAAACTGAAGGAGGTATGCCTGCCCCTGCTCCATGTTGGGAACCTGGAAAATGCAGGGCTTGCTAGCCAGTCTGTTGAAGTGCACATTAAAGCATAGCAGGAAATAAGGGGTGTAGAGGCAAGATATAGGGTTGTGGGGTACAATACACCCCTAGGTTCATGTACAGTACACCATTTTGTTTGCCTCTTACTCAAATTTACCCATTTGCAAATTTACCCATTTGCTAATTTACCCATTTACCCATTTGCTAATCCTAAACCAGGTCCTTGTGGTCCAGATCTTCAGAGCTTCATCTCAGCCTTTTTTTTTTGGGGGGGGGTGTATCCCCATGTCCTAGTTTCTTCCTTCCAAAGTTGGCTTTGTTCATTCTTTCCTTCCTCAGTTAAGCATTTGCTACTTTGCTCATTTTTTTTTATTTTTTAACATTTTTTATTATTTTTTTTATTTGAAAGAAAATTATTTTACATGTCAATCCCAGGTTCCTCTCCCTCCCCTCCTTCCCCGCCTTCCCCCAACTAATGCCCTATTCATCCTATAACCATATCCTTTCTGCTCTCCAGGAAGGGTAAGGCCTTCCATGGGAGTGTCTTCAAAGTCTGTCATATTCTTTGGGATAGGCCCTAGGCCAACCCCCTTGTGTCTAGGCTCAGGGAGTATCCCTCCATGTAGGATGGGCTCCTAAAGTCCATTTCTATGGTAGCAATAAGTACTGAGCCACTACAAGAGGTCCCATAGATTTCCAAGGTCTCCTCACTGACACCCACATTCAGGGGGTCTGGATCAGTTCCATGCTGGTTTCCCAGCTATCAGTCTGGGGACCAAGAGTTTCCCCTTGTTCAGGTCAGCTGTTTCTGTGGGTTTCACCAGCCTGGTATGGACCCCTTTGCTCATCAGTCCTCCTTCTCTGCATCTGGATTTCAGTTCAGTTCAAGGTTTAGCTGTGGGTGTCTGCTTCTACTTCCACCAGCTGCTGGTTAAAGGCTATACGAAGGCATATGAATTAGTCATCAATTTCATTATCAGGAGAAGGCATTTAAGGTAGCCTCTCCTCTGTTGCTTAAATTGTTAGTTGGTGTCATCTTTGTAGCTCTCCTGACATTTCCCTAGTACCTGATTTCGCTTTAAACCTATAATGTCTCCCTCTATTTATATTATCTCTTATCTTGCTCTCTTCTGTTCTTCCCCCAACTCAACCTCCCTGTCCCATTATGTCTTCCTCACCTCTCCTCTTCTCCCCTTCTCATTCTCCTAGTTCCCTCTCCCCTCCTCCCATACTCCCAACTTGCTCAGGAGATCTTGTCCCTTCCCCCTTTCCTGGGGGACCCTGTATGTCTCTGTTAGGGTCCTCCTTGTTTCCCCGCCTCTCTGGCAGCCTGGGCTGCAGGCTGACAATCCTTTCCTCTATGTCAAAAATCCACATATGAGTGAGTACATACAATGCCTGTCTTTTTGTGACTGGGTTACCTCAATCAGAATGGTTTATTCTAGTTCCATCCATTTGCCTGTGAATTTCAAGTCCCCATTGCCTTTTTTTCCAACAAGTAAGTACTCCATTGTGTAAATGTACCACATATTTTTCTATCCATTCTTCAGTTGAGGGGCATCTAGGTTGCTTCCAGGTTCTGGCTGTTACAAATAATGCTGCTATGAACATAGTTGAACAGATGTCCTTGTTGTATGAATGTGCTTCTTTTGGGTATATGCCTAGGAGTGGAATTGCTGGATCTTGTGGTAGACTGATTCCCATTTTCCTGAGGAATCGCCATACAGATTTCCAAAGTGGCTGTATGAGTTGGTACTCTCACCAGCAGGGGAGGAGTGTTCCCCTTTCTCCACATCCTCTCCAGCATAAACGGCCATTGGTATTTTTGATTTTAGCCATTCTGAGAGGTGTAAGATGGTATCTCAGAGTTGTTTTGATTTGCATTTCCCTGTTGGCTAAGGATGTTGAACACTTTCTTATGTGTCTTTCAGCCATTTTAGATTCCTGTGTTGAGAATTCTCTATTTAGTTCTGTACCCCACTTTTTAATTGGATTATTTGGTGTTTTCGAGACTAGCTTCTTGAGTTCTTGTATATTTTGGAGATCAGCTCTCTGTCGGATAGGGGGTTGGTGAGTATTTTTTCCCAATCCGTGGGCTGTCATTTTGTCTTGTTGACTGTGTCCTCTGCCTTACAGAAGCTTCTCAGTTTCAGGAGGTCCCATTTATTAGTTGTGGATCTCAGTGTCTGTGCTACTGGTGTTAGGTTCAGGAAGCGGTCTCCTGTACCGTTCAAGGGTATTTCCTACTTTCTCTTCTAATAAGTTCAGTGTGGCTGGGTTTATGTTGAGGTCTTTGATCCATTTGGGCTTAAGTTTTGTGCATAGCGATAGACTTGGTTCTACCTGCAGTCGTCTATAGGCCAGCATCCAGCTATGCCAGCACCATTTGTTGAAGATGCTTTCTTTATTCCATTGTATAGCTTTGGCTTTTTTGTCAAAAATCAGGTGTATGGGTTAATGTCAGGGTTTTCAATTTGATTCCATTGATCTACCTGTCTATTTTTGTGCCAAAACCAAGCTGTTTTCAGGACTATAGCTCTATAATAGAGCTTGAAATCAGGGATGTTGGTGTTGCCTCCGAAAATTCTTTTATTGTACAGGGTTGTTTTGCCTATCCTGGGTCTTTGGTTTTTCCATATAAAGTTGAGAATTGTTTTTTCAAGTTCTGTGAAGAATTGTGTTGGGATTTTGATGTTAATTGCATTGAATCTGTAGATTGCTTTTGGCAAGATTGCCATTTTTACTATGTTGATCCTACCTATCCAAGAACATGGAAGATCCTTCCATTTTCTGGTATCTTCTTTAATGACTCAAAATTCTTATGATACAGATCTTTCACTTTTTAGGTTAGTGTTACCCCAAGGTATTTTATGTTGTTTGTGGCAATTGTAATGGGTGATGTTTCTCTGATTTCTTTCTCAGCACATTTATCATCTGTATATTGTAGGGCTTCTGATTTTTTTTTTTGAGTTAATCTTGTATCCTGACACTTTGCTGAAGGTGTTTATTAGCTGTAGGAGGTCCCTGGTAGAGTTTTTCAGGTCACTTATGTAAACTATCATATCATCTGCAAACAGTGAAAGCTTGACTTCTTCCATTCCAATTTGTATCCCCTTAATCTCCTTTTGTTGCCTTATTGCTCTAGCCAGAACTTCACGGACAAATTGAAGAGATATGGGGAGAGTAGACAGCCTTGTCCTGTTCCAGATTTTAGAGGAAACACTTTGAGTTTCTCTCCATTTAGTTTGATGTTGGCTGTTGGCTTACTATATATATTGTTCAGGTGTGTTCCTGTTATTCCTGATCTTTCCAGGACCTTTATCATGAAGGGATGTTGGATTTTGTCAAAGGCTTTTTCAGCATCTAGTGAGATGATCATGTGGTTTTTCTTCTTCAGTTGGTTTATATGGTGGATTACATTGATAGATTTTGGAATGTTGAACCAACCCAGGGATGAAGCCTACTTGATCATAGTGGATGATTTTTCTGGTATGGTCTTGGATTTAGTTTGCCAGTATTTTATTGAGTATTTTTGCATCTATGTTCATGAGGGATATTGGTCTGTAGTTCTCTTTCTTAGTTGTGTCTTGAGTACCAATGTAATTGTAGCTCAATTATGGTAACTGATAACTGTCCACAAAGTTGTCCATTTCCTTTAAATTTTCAAATTTTGTGGAGTACAGGTTTTCAAAGTATAACTTGAAGATTCTCTGGATTTCCTCAGTGTCTATTGTTATGTTCCCTTTCCATTTCTGATTTTGTTAATTTGCATGTTCTCTCTCTGCCTTTGGTTAGTTTGGATAGTCTATCTAGTTGATTTTTTGAAGAACCAACTCTTTGTTATATTGATTCTTTGAAGTGTTTTCTTTTTTTCAACTTTATTGATTTCTGCCCTCGGTTTGATTTTTTCCTGGTGTCTGCTCCTCTGTGGTGAATATGCTTCCATTTTTTTCTACAGCTTTCAGCTGTGATGTCAGCTCTCTGGTGTGGCTATTCTCTAGCTTTTTCGTGTGAGCACTTAGAGCTATGAACTTTCCTCTTAGTACTGCTTTCAAAGTGTCCCGTAAGTGTGGGTATGTTGTGTCTACAGTTTCATTGAATTCTAGCAAGTCTTTAATTTCTTTATTTCTTCCTTGACCCATGAATGGTGCAATTTCCTGTTGTTCAATTTCCATGAGTTTGTAGGTTTTCTGCAATTTGTGTTGTTTTTGAATTCTAACTTTAAAGCGTGGTGGTCTGATAAGACACGGGATTATTCCAACTCTTTTGTACCTGCTGAGGTTTGCTATGTGGTCGATTTTTGAGAAGGTTCCATGTGATGCTGAAAAGAA